TAAAAATTAATATCTTTAAATATAAAAAATTAAAAAGTATCATTTTAAAATAATAAAATTGAAATTAATATTTTTATTTAAAAAATAAAAAAATTAATATTTTAAAATTTAAAAAATATAAAATTAATTTTTTTATTCATACCTTTTCCCAACCTTATCCTCTCTACCACTGCTCCCCATTTTCCCTCAAACTAAATATATTCTTTGTTTAAGTATTTGATTTCCGTGGACCTTTTAACGTCTTTTTTTTTTGTCCTGCCAGAAGAGGTGACAAAAATCACACTTAACCCATTAACCTGAACATAATCCAACCCGTAAAAAATAAGTTAGTGTTAAGTAGTATCAGACCCATGACCCGTTCAAGTCCAAATGGATTGCGAGTCAAACATGGATCAACCCATGAGTTCACAAGTTGATTCATTTAATCAGTTTGTTTTTAATATTTTAAGAAATATATTTTTATAAGATAATTTTTTAAAGTAAAATAACTAATAAATATAATTTTAAAAAAAATCTAATATGATAGTGATCATTACAATTTATAAAATTTTTTAAATGAAATTGATTATATTCATTTAAAATTTATAAATCAAGTATTGTATATTATATATGATTATTGATAAAGAAGACAAAAAAATTAAATGAATTATTCAAAATATTTCACAAAAAATAAGTTATTTTACTTAAACTAATCAAATAGAAAGAAGTATAATTATTAAAAAATAATCATATTAAAGTTATTATAATTTAATATTAATAAATTAATATTAAAAATATGACTAATTATATAAAAAAATAAAAAATTCAATTTACAAGTCAATCCATAACTCATTAGAGTTAAATTACAATTAATATTTATTAACTTATAACCCATATATAACTTAATTCGTAAAACTCATGATTCAAATGAACTTAACTCCAACCTGACCCAACCCAACCCATCCTTTTGCCACCTCTACCTGCTAGGCTGGAGCATTAAAGAAAATGGATACGATAACTGACATGCTCTAGCACGTCTCGACAAGTTGGCATATCATTTCTTTCTTTTTTTCTTTTCTTTTTTTTTTTTTGAATAATTTTACTAAAGTTCAGATTTAAATCATTACCCAAAAAACAAAATGTAATTAAATGTAACTTGATATCACCGAATCTAAAAGTCTAAGCGTAGTTGACATATCATTTCTTAATTACATTATAGGTTTATTAATCAATAATAATCGTACTATAAATGTTAAAAAAAGACTTGGGGAATATCATTGACATTGACCCAGAAGACCCCACCAATTTTGAACTTGAGTGGATACATGGATGATGCTAAGTAAGTTCCTAGATTTTGCACTGCGCGCACTTTCCACCTTTGTTTCAAGAAAGAACAAATGAAATTACAAGGGAAAACTCTGCCTAAAGCTCCTCTTTCTTTCTGTTTTATACTTTTTTAAGTCAATTTTTCAGGGGAATCACAAACAAACTGGAAGCTTCGTAGCAACTTTCAACCTAGACATCAATCATTCAATGAACAAATGTATAATAGTCGAACCATCTTAATTAATATATAACTTAAGTTATCATATTTAATTTTGTTATAAGAAAATTATTTAAATTTAAAATCTCAAACTTTTAAAATATCAATTTAAACACATTAACTATTAATATGAAAATAAGTTTTTAAATTTTATTTTAAGATTTATGCGTTAATTATTTTTAAGCATATATGCTAAATTTAATAAATTAAGCATGGATTGTACTAAATTCTAACATATATAATAAATTCTAACATATATAATATGATGCACGAATTAATTTTCCTTTCTTCCAAATAAGAATGAAATTTCTTCATGTTAATGCCAATTATTGTCCCTCTACTATAAAACATAATGCAATTTAATCCTTTTACTATTGATTTGCCTCATGTCCTCCCTTTACTATTAATAAACTTCACTTGTCCTCCCTCTACAATTCAAAACCATATCAATGTCATCTTTTCGTCCAATTTAGGTTAACGGCACTGTTTATTCACCGTTTAAGTGCAAACGATCATAACGTTTGGGCCTTTTTTAATCTTTTTTTTGCCACTCATGCATT